CTCTCGTCCTGAACCTGGCCCTGTAGACTTCTGACTGATTTTGGGTTCTGTACCTGAGTTCTAAAGCCAACACCAATGCTCTATAGTTGTGCCTGTCGTCTGCTGACAACTGTCCAAGTATTTCCAGTGGTTGTCCCTTCAAGCTAGTTGTCAGATATACTGCTTTCTGCTCCTCTGTCCATCCATTCATCTCTGCCAGTAGCTCAAACTGTGCTCTATATGCTTCCCACGGTGCCTTCCCATCATATTCCTGTGGCTTCCTTCGCACTGGATCACTCCTATTACTAACATTCATATCTGGGATGTGACTTCTAACGGAACTGAATATGTCTGCATTAGGGTTTAGCTGCGGGCTCTGTAAGGGGCTTGCCATTGTCTGGGGCTGATTAAGTCGATGGTCAATGTATCCTCCTTGTGTAAAAGACAATAGATCATCCTTTAACGTATCTAATTCGCTTTTAAATTCACTAATGTTTTCCATTTATACGTCTTGTTCCAGTTGCCACTGCTGTAGTCTCTCTTCTTGTTTCTTTTCTCGTTCTTCTTGTTTCTTTTCTTGTTCCAGTTGCCACTGCTGTAGTCTCTCTTCTAGTTTCTTTTCTCGTTCTTCTTGTTTCTTTTCTTTTTCCTCCAACAACTGCTGTAATCTCTCTTGTTTATTTTGCTGTTCGAGCTGCCATTGTTGTAGGTTTTCTTGCCACTGCTGTTGTCTCTCTTCTTGTTTCTGTTCTAGTTCATCCAACAACTGCTGTAATTTCTCTTGTTTATTTTGCTGTTCGAGCTGCCATTGTTGTAGGTTTTCTTGCCACTGCTGTTGTCTCTCTTCTTGTTTCTTTTCTTTTTCCTCCAACAACTGCTGTAATTTCTCTTGTTTATTTTGCTGTTCGAGCTGCCATTGTTGTAGGTTTTCTTGCCACTGCTGTTGTCTCTCTTCTTGTTTCTTTTCTTTTTCTTCCAACAACTGCTGTAATTTCTCTTGTTTATTTTGCTGTTTGAGCTGCCATTGTTGTAG